TGTAGCTCCCTGGGAGAGGTCAGGCCTAGAACAACCTTCTACTCTAGGAAGGAAGATGTGGATGTTGTTGAATTGAAATCCATGATCTCTGTTCCGTGGAGCCGGGCTACCCAAAGCGTAGTGTGAAAAGTGTGCTGGCTCAGGAAACATTTTGTTACTAAGCTGTGACAAGGAGAAGAATACTGAGAGTAAGTGTTTAGATATGTTGCAGCTGTTGAATACTGAGGCTGCACTAAACTCATGACCTCTCTCATCCCTGAGATTAGACCACTTGCATGCTGCTGAATACTCACAGGGTGAGCCACATGTGGTAAGACCTACGTATTCATCCCGTGCAGGAGGACCACAGCTAGGTCTGCCATGGCTTGAAAATAATGAAGTCCTTCACTTCAGATAGTGTAGGTTTAGAGTTGAATCGTGTCATCCTTTCCCGTATCCTTCAATTCCCCGGACGAATTAAAGGACTCCCCACACTTTCTCCATTTACCATGGATGAACTGAACATTGACTTTGTTTTTGACTTCCAGAAACCACAAATTCAGTTTTCTAACAATTTACAACACTCGTTTTAATAAAATCTAAACACGGTGAAAAAAATAAATGTTCCATGAAATTTTTCTATGTGAAGGCTGATTCCTATTTCATATGAACATGAAACTAACTAGCAGCCCGCCTCAGGGAATAATGAGTCCATGAATAAAAGCTATATTTTCACATGTCGATCAAATAAGATTAAAATCATCCTCAAAAGCATTTTTGGCAACATAGACATCCACCTCCCCCACATCAGCATGGCACAGTGGAAACAGCATTGAATTAGATATTGGGAGTGCTGGAGTCCAGAATTGGCTCTGGTATTAACTTGCTTGGTGACTTTTTGAAGTCTCCAAGCCTCCTGTACCAAAACTTCCTCCTCTGTGAAAGTAGCAGTTTGTATGAGCTGATCTCTAAAGTCTCTGACAACTTTAAAATTTTATACTTCAAAGAAAATTATTTTCCCTTAAGGTAGTTTCCTGATGGAAGAATAATTTTCCCAGCTGTGCATTTACTGCCACAAGATAGACTGACCTTTCTGCACTTGCATGAGTAGCTCTTTTACCATAAGTTTAGCATTAGCAGACTTTGCAAGGCTGAAATCACACAACAAATGAAGCAGGAACCCTGACCCCCAAAACGCGCCTTTGTCATGGAGACATGAGCTGCAGTTTGCAGATATCTCCGGGGCTGTCGCGTAACTCACAGGGGCCCAATATGATAGAATGGGTTCCATAAAATACCAATATCTATAAGGTACTGTTTATTGAATTGTTATTTGTCTCACAAGACCTTTCTCAGGGGGCTTTTCAATGCCTAACAATCTAAAATAAAGCCATCTGTCCTCCCCTAACTCATAAACCCTACAGTATTAACCAGGTCCTAAATAGAGGTTGGAATTGAGTGACCCCCAGGAACACTCGAGCATGAATAACCATGATAGAGTTGACTCTGCAGGTATTCCATTTTTTGCTTATGGCCCAAAACCATGTTTTAAGCTTTTCTGCACTACTGAAATGATGCATCCTGTGCCTGTCAAGGGATCTGTCTAATGTGTGTGAGTGAGTACTACATATAACCGTGATAACTGGGGTTAGCTTAAAAATACCAATAATTCCTGTAATGTGTTTCATCTCTGAAGTAAGTAGAGAATGCTGATGCAAATGAAGAAAAATTCAAAACAAAAATTCGAACTGTATGGAAATTCCAGAGTAAAATGCAAAATGTCTAAACATAGATCACTATTCAAAAGAATGGAAAATTCATATTTAAGCAATACAAAAATTTAGGCAGTATACTTTAGCAAAGAAAGTAAGATAATGAGGCAGTGGTACATACGTATATGTGCATATATTACATAACATATACAATTTATTACTGAATCTCTCAAAAAGCCGAAGAATATGAGAAAAGACAAACATATTAATGGAACACTTCGAAATGAGATATTCAGTCCTCATTATCTAAAATATGATTGCAGTTAGAATTATGCACATAAAAAGGCATATAAATACAGTACGAAGATTTTTCTTTTTTTTTTTTCTTTTTTTTTTGAGATGGAGTCTTGCTGTTGTTGCCCAGGCTGGAGTGCAATGGCACGATCTCGGCTCACCACAAGCTCCGCCTCCTGGGTTCAAGCGATTCTCCTGCCTCAGCTTCCTGAGTAGCTGGGATCACAGGCGCACACCACGATACCTGGCTAATTGTATTTTTTTAGTAGAGACAGGGTTTCACCATGTTGGTCAGGCTGGTCTCAAACTCCTGACCTTTAGGTGATCCACCCGCCTCAGCCTCCCAAAGTGCTGGGACTACAGGTGTGAAGTGAGCCGCCATGCCCGGCCGAAGATTTTTCTTATCTAAATTTTAATTTGAAAAGAACATTTACTTTCTAGGTTTTGTAGAAAAGAGAAGAGTGAACGACAGTTCTCTCACAAATAAAGCAGAGGAAGTCAGTGGTTTACCCCAGGGCTCTGCCCAGCAGAAGAATGCTAGATCAAGGATTGAAACTTACATACCTGGAAACAGCAAAACAATACCTGCTGGAGTTGAGTGACTGAAAGGAAAATGGATTAAATGAACAGAGTCCTGGAGTGAGCTAGCGATCCCTTAGCCCAATGGGCCATGATGGTTTGTTCTTAAGTGGCCGCAGTTCTTTAGGCAAGTGCTATTATTGATACCAATGTTCTTTCTTCCCTAACTGAAAGCAACAAAAGGACCTTGCACCAATGTCTTGCATCAATCGAGCAAGGTCTCCGTGCAATAGCTGCCTCCAGGCAAATGCTGTCCAATAGTGAGTGAACTGGGCTCTTCTCAGCTACAAAAGTGAAGCCTTGAGACCATCAATCTTGACTCCCCCACCTGTGGAGAAAGTATCCTCCCTATCATTATTTGAACCACTGGGACTTTGAATATCTTAGGTCGTGTTTTTCCAGCCCTCTTCTGCTGGTGAGTGTGTTTTCTTTCCCTCCAGAAATCAAAAATCTCCACCTACGAAAAGATGTGGGCCTTCATGAGCAGCAGGCAGCAGACCGCCCTGGTAAGAAACAGTGACGAGGGAATCCAGAGAGTGCTCACTACGGACTACGCGCTGCTGATGGAGTCCACCAGCATTGAGTATGTGACGCAGAGAAACTGCAACCTCACTCAGATCGGGGGCCTCATTGACTCCAAAGGTTATGGAGTGGGAACGCCTATTGGTAAGAGGGGCAGACATGAACCAGGACTGAGATAGAGAATGTCAGTTACCAGTGTGGAAGGAAATGGGCTCAGAGTTCTTTATTCCAAATTCTGAGAAGGCCTACAATGCCTTTAGTGAACTAATAATGGAAACATCCATATAGATCAGAGACATTGTCCAAATTACAGATTCCCAGATATTTAACTTCATATACTCGTAACCAGTGTTTCTTTCAAGTTTTACCAATGCATGTTTAAGAATATATAGATTTTATTATTTCACCCTAAACAAATATCTTAAAGAGAATATCCTTCTAATTAATCATCTTCACATTGTTTCCTTCAATACCCATATATGCCTATATAATTTATTTGCCTTAAATTAGAATAGAAGAAAGTTGATATTGCATATGCATAGCAAAAGTGAGAGAGTTCGTATTCCATAATGATAGATGAAAAAGCAAGGCTATATCGGTCAAAAGAAAAAGGATAAAGATTAATTTATAAGTATGATGTGCTCAGGCAATGTTAGATTCAATCAATGCCAACTATGTAAAACCAAATTCCTTAGTTCCATGCTACTGCTCTCCTAGGAATATTATTGCCTAGGTATACAGACCCATATAGCAATGCATTCTTGTACGTCTATAGGAGACAAGAATAGAATTCAAGGAGTAATTAGTGATTTCCTCTCCATAGAAAACTCCCTCTCTATTGTTTCCCTCTCTATAGAAAACTGTATCGTGGCCGGGTGTGGTGGCTCATGCCTGTAATCCCAGCACTTTGGGAGTCCGAGGCGGGCAGATCATGAGGTCAGGAGATCAAGATTATCCTGGCCAACATGGTGAAACCCTGTCTCTACTAAAAATACAAAAATTAGCTGGGCGTGGTGGCATGTGCCTATAGTCCCAGTTACTCAGGGGGCTGAGGCAGGAGAATCGCTTGAACCCGGCAGGTGGAGGTTGCAGTGAGCTGAGATGGTGCCACTGCACTCCAGCCTGGGTGACAGAGCGAGACTCCATCTCAAAGGAAAGAATGAGAAGAAAGAAAGAAAGAAAGAAAGAAAGAAAGAAAGAAAGAAAGAAAGAAAGAAGGAAGGAAGGAAGGAAGGAAGGAAGGAAGGAAGGAAGGAAGGAAGGAAGGAAGGAAGGAAGGAAGGAAGGAAAGGAAAGAAAGAAAGAAAGAAAAGAAAGAAAGAAAGAAAGAAAGAAAGAAAGAAAGAAAGAAAGAAGAAAGAAAGAAAGAAAGAAGGGAGGGAGGGAGGGAGGGAGGGAGGGAAGGAGGAAGGAAGGAAGGAAGGAAGAAAGAGAGAGAGAAAGAGAGAAGGAAGGAAGGAAGAGAGAGAGAAAGAAAAGAAAGAAAGGAAGGAAGGAAGAAAGGAAGGAAGGAAGGAAGGAAGAGAGAAAGAAAGAAGAGAGAAAACTGTATCGTATAAGGTTCTGGTATAGCAGGAACCTACTCTTCCCAAGTAAGCCGTTGGTAATTTGTTAATAAGAATTCCAAAGGAGAGGAATCAGGGACTGTCTAGACTACTGGGCTAGTCTAGAAATCATAGCTAACAGTCAAGCTGGATCGTTAAGGACCCCAGGTAGGTTTGATCTGTTTGTTTGTATTAGTATTTTTGTCATTAGAAAGGGATGATCCAATTTGACTCTCAACATCATGCAGGGATCACAAACTGAAATGCTTACAGAGGTCAAGCAGATATCATAAGAGAGCAAAGCATGCTTGTGCCAGGAGGCAGTAGGGAATGGTGGCAATTATGGAAAATTACAGACCACATGACTTACCAAAAGGAGACAGCCGCCTTTCAGGTCAGAGGGTTGTAGACATGTAGGACTTTGAGAAGAAGATTGTGGAATATTCCGTTTTCTAAGAAAATAAAAAAATCCAGATTTTAGGTGATTTGTCCTAATGTTTTTGTTTTAGCAATAAATTCATTAAAAAAGAAAAAACTGTATTTCATGTATTCAACTTTTAATATGAATATAACTAATCAGATAAAATTCAACTATCTTCCACATTTACCATGAATACACAGCCAGTTTGACTTCCTGCTATCTACCTGGTGTTAGAAATATGTGCTAGGGAGAAATTAACTTTATTATTATTGTTATCCTGTATGTCCTCCAAATAAAATTCCTGCAGAATGATGGGGCTAGAAGATTTACAGCTACCTTCTTGCTTCTTTATTTCCAATAACTTCTCCTGATGAAAATACTAATGTTGCTAGTGAGGTGTATATTTTTCCCCAAGTGGTAAGCTCTCCTATAATTTAGTCAACAGGAGGCTCAGGGGATCATTTGGCACTGGCTAACAGGATATTATACCTCTTTTTGACTTTAAAAAAGCAATATCCTATTGCCCTAAGCAAGCTTTGCCACCTCATTTTAGATAATAAAGGTGGGGGAAGTTAGACGGTATTTTTTATATCTCATCACTGCTGATTTTAGTTAAATGGGCCATAAATCAGACAAGAACACCAAGAGTAGGTACCTTTGCCTGAATTTTTGCAGAATCAAGACCCTCATGGAGGAGTAACCATAATTCCTTAATAGAACCATCTCTAGACTAAATTATAAAGTCAAAAACTGTACCTTCATCATTCTATTTCCCACCTCATAACCCTACCCCACCACATTTCAACACCCCTTTTTGGCACCAAAATTCCTGTCTGTTAATAATGATTTAAAATAACAATGTGTATCACCCCTCCTGAGAATGTTTGCACTTTAACATGAGACTTTTAATTGGCAGTCCTTCTACAGCATGGAACATAACTTGAAAGTTAAAATTTCTGATAGTACAGTGAGTGACGCAGGGCTAGGGGCAGGAGGGAGCAATGCACTTCTTCCTACCACTTTCCTAAATGAATGCACCACTTTGAAAATCACTGCCTGCTTTCATGCGAATGAAGTTGACCTAGTGTTGAGTACCACTAACATTAAATAGACATATAATACAGAGAGATCCAAAGGTACCCATTCAGTCTCCTTTTGGCCAGCCTCACCCAAGTTCCAAAGTTGAAAAGCCTTCCCCACTTCCTAGATAAAAAGAAATATACTCCAGGAATTTTTCATAGTGGTTATAAACCTGTCATGCTTTTAAACTAAAAACAATGAAGGAATAATTGGAACAGATGGCAGACCTCACAGAGAATACGTCCATTGAGAATACAGCTGTTGGAAAAAATTGTGAGATGTTTCTTTTATGATGAATTGACTGTACAAAAGATCAGTTGCTATTCAAGAAGATGTGTGTGTGCGCACGTGTGTGTGTGTGTGTGTGTATGAAATATATATATACGAAATATATATAGATTTCAAGTGACATAATAAATAACTTTCAATGTCATTTACTTCATTTAAGCAACAACAACAAAAAAACTGAAGTTAAAATATACTCAGATATTAAAAATTATCTGCACACTTCTAGTCTTGCCCTGACTAATTCCCTTATGGCTCCAAGCTCTGTCCCATAATCAAATATTGGCAAAATCACAACACAAAATTGAAGACTTTGCTTCTTAGAGACACTCAGGACAACAGATCTAGAAATGTACCTCCTGTGAGATTTAAAATAAAACTCTGAGAGAACAAGAGCATTTAAGGTTTGAACAGCTTACCAGGAGGCTGGAAATTATCTTTCTCAGAGACCAACTTTAAACAGAGATCAGATTTTCATTTGTCTGAAATGTTTTAGGTATTGCGCAGCCTGGAGGCAGAAGGAAAGCATCAGTCAACATTTACTGAGCACCTACTGTGTATGCTGCTAGGATTATTACTGCAACCACTAACATAAGAATCATTCTTACACTCTTCAAAACACTTTCATGTACATTAAAGCAAAGTGCTCTTGGTTCACTTAATTGCTCACCTGCTATGGGTATATCAATGGTGCTAATTTTTACACTAGCCATTATTCTGGGGATATTTAAGCAAATGGCCAAGGTCTTTTAATTTCGTTTCAATATCCATTTTTTCACCAAAAATTCATACTCTTGATAAGCCATAATCTCACGCCAAAGCATTTTGCTCTTCTTTTAAACTTGTTTTTGAATGCTGATGATTATTTTAGGAAGTCTTACGAGGAAAATTAATAACAAATGACACCAACTTTAAACTTCTATTTTTCTAACTTAACCATGCCATAGGACATAAGGCATACGTAGGGGTGGGAGCACTGGATGGGAACACTGTCATGAAAACAACATGAAAAGTGAGAAGTCAGGAGACTTGAGTTTGATTCTTGGCTGTGCCAGCAACTATCAGTTTCGCTCATACTTTCAGTTCCTAAATATCTTCCATTCTAAAATGGAATATGTACTGAACTGTAAGTGGACTGAACTGTATCATTCCTAAGATTTCTTCTAGTCCTAAGATGCCTCATTTATCAATGTGCTTCCACCAAGAAAGACTTTAACGTTTGCAAATAGAGAAAGCCAGAGTGTACTACTTTTCTACTGAATAGAAGAAATGCTAACAAGAGTTCTTCATATTCAAGGAGAGATTAAGTAAAAGAGTACTACTTTGCCTCTTCCTTTGCATTGATTAACCAAAATCCAGTGTTGAGAAGCTACGTCTACAGATAGACACCGGCACTTTACAAAATTAAAAGTTCAATGGCATTACTAGAAGATAGAGTATAAATAATATTAATAAAGTCCTTGCAAATTTTCCAAACCTAACTGAATTTTGTAGGAAATTTGAATTATTCAAAACCTAGTCTTAAGTTTATCTTAATAGGTGCATGAATCAGTATGTACTAACCAACATCTGCAAAGATTATGCTGGGAAGACATTGTCTTAGTTCCTATTGGCTAGAAACCAGTCACATAACCACACTGAACTGTAAGGGAGGTGGGAAACGTCTAGTTACTCCCCCTCAGAAGAAGAAATGGAACTGCTGGTCATCCAGGCAAGCCCAGTCACAGTATGAGACAACAAAGAGCCTATAAAAAAGTGAGATCTAAATAATTGCTAGCTTAAAAAATATATCCACAATATCGATAAATTTCAAAAGTAGAAATGGAGACTTCATTTCTTTATAAGCAAAGAGTGACAACCTGCAAGGTGGTCATCCTGTAGGCTGGAAAACACGTGTCCAACCAAGATCAAAGACAGGCACTTTGAAAAAAGAGGGGTTGGGGCAAGAGCTTTTTGCTGAATGGGTTGGCTTAACATACATATTCAACTGGTTCCAGGCAGAGCTATGAATATTTGTGAAGATGATCCTGACACATGCATATTGAACAAAAATGCACGTAACATACAATCCATGTTCACTTTGGGGTAGCGACTTAACATTTAAATGTTTTATAATTAGGTTCTATACATCAAAATGTCTTTCAGGACACAATAGCTTGCAAAGGCACAACCTCTTTAATCCAACCAGAACCAGTCTAAGGTCGGTGGTCGTCTTATCTGGAGAAAGTTACTGAAATCAGGATCTTGTTTAATGAAAGGTATAGCTAGTGGAACAGGGGCTGGAAGTCAGTGTCTATGAGTTAGATGAGCTGTAATTGTTTTAATATTGCTTATCTCAAGGCCAGTGCTTGTTTACCTCCTTGAGAAAAAGAAAAACCTTATAGCAGTTGGAACATCGTTTATTCTTTAAGTCCAAGACTGTGTGACTTAACCCTTGTCTGGCATGGCCTTTGGTCCTGTTTATAATTTGATATCTTATTGCCACAAATAGACTGCTCTGTCTGACCTCCCATCCTGGTATGGCTGCTAACTACGTTTTTGAGGTTTTTCTGGGGTCCCTTTGGTCACAAAAGAGGGTCATTCAGTCAATGGGGGCTTAGAATTTTATTTTTAGTTTATACAATGAAATCTCTTGACATGTGAAAAGACTCATGATGATCTCACCAGAAACAAAGACATGTCATAGAATTCCTAGCTTCGCTTCTCCTTAAAAAGGAGCAAACGGTCGGGACCAAAGTTAATCTCAACATGTCAGCTATCTCCTTTCCAATTATTTAGTATTTAGTGCCTTCAAAATACAGGATTGAACTTTCCTGCCCTTTGCAAGTCAATCTGTGGATTGGGGTTTCACAACAGCCATAACGTCATCGCTGAGAACGATAACTAAGAATACTTCTGGATGTCTTCTTCAACATTTTGGTGACCAATATCCAAATGACTTTACTTCCAGGTTCTCCTTACCGGGATAAAATTACTATTGCTATTCTTCAGCTCCAAGAAGAAGGGAAGCTGCATATGATGAAAGAGAAGTGGTGGCGTGGGAATGGCTGCCCCGAGGAAGACAATAAAGAAGCCAGTGCTCTGGGAGTGGAAAATATTGGGGGCATCTTCATTGTTTTGGCTGCCGGACTGGTCCTTTCTGTATTTGTAGCTATTGGAGAATTCATATACAAATCACGGAAGAATAATGATATTGAACAGGTGAGTCATCTCTTTCTAGGACTGGTTAGTTTATAGTTTGCATTATGTGTCTTAAGTTTGGGGGTTTTAAGGATGTTTGCTGTTTTTCAGTCTGTTAAATTAGATGCCCAGAAGAGCCATTTTTGAGTTAGAGCAAAGAGCTATTGAATCCCTGCCAGGTGCTGTGGGCACTGCAGGTCCATCATTTATTAATGACAAGGAAGGGGCTTACACACGAAATCCAATTAGCCCTATTTGGAAAGACAGTGCAGAAATTCCAAACTCAGTTAATTTTTGAACAGTTGTTTGCTTGTAAGATAGAAACCCTAGATGGAAAAAGGCAAAAATAAATCCAAAATTGGAAAAGCTATGAAAAGATATTTAACAGAAAGATTACCAGCCCTTAAGTATAGATTCTGAGCACATGTACTAATGCAAAAAATGTACATAAATATGTAAAAGTCATAGTATGAAATTGAACACTTACTTCTATCAAAGTAAGCTTTGTAAAAGGATAGATCACCTCAAATTTTTTTTGCCAGGAATATAACAATGCAAAATGAAAATGCAATATATATGAGACTTTTGTGTTTGGGATTATAGGACAATTTTAGTAGTTGACCATTTTTGCCTATTACTTTTATTTTTGAAGGAAATCACACTAGTTTTGAAGGAAATCAGCTTATACTGTTTTGAAAAAGCTGATTGTGATTTAAGATAATTCCTTCATAACCATACTAGAATAAACAAAATACAAAGGTTTATGGCCATGATAGTGAATCAGGCTCCCAATTCAATTTTTAAATAATGTTAGAATTTTAAGACTATGACTATTAATGACAGAGCCAGTTTAATGCTCTGCTGTCATCTTGAAATTCTAAATAATTTTTGAACAAAGCGTCCCATATTTTCATTTCGCACTGGACCCTGCAAGTTATGTGGCTGGTTCAGATTTATAATCTGATAATAGATCTACTTTCTTTAAGTAGAAGCCCTCCTTAAGGGCCCAAAACTTGGAATGATTCATTATAACCTGGTTTCACATGAAAATCTTCCCCAGAATTACAAGGCAACTGTGACAACAATGAACACCCCTTTCCTAAGCTCTTGTTATAAGAAGCTGTTTTTTTAATTAAAAGAGAGAATGAACTGATCTGCTTTAACTTTCAATTCGCTCTTGAGGTGTCTTGTTTTATGCAACTAATTTGAAAAATAAAAGCTTGTATATATGATGCTTTAATGTGCTTTTCATAGTTGCCAGCTTCATGTGATGTAAATTTTCATTTAAACATTCATTCTTGCTTCTGATTTATTCATTTTTCTATATTTTTTTTCTCATTTCTTTTGCATGCAAGGCTTTTTGTTTCTTTTATGGACTGCAATGTAAGCAAACCCATCCAACCAACTCCACTTCTGGAACCACTTTATCTACGGATTTAGAATGTGGCAAATTAATTCGAGAGGAGAGAGGGATTCGGAAACAGTCCTCAGTTCATACCGTGTAATCAGTTTTTTTTTAAAAAAAAAAAAAAGAAGTGTGCCCAGTAGAAAATGTTTTCGCTAATTGGTGTTGTTGATATTTGTATTTGCTAAGCATAAATAGCCACAATTCTCTATTCCTTTAGGATAGCAAAACTCATGTATTCTAGACATTGAAATGAATACACTGGAAAGAGACTTGCACTGTATGTTGAAGGAGGGGCATATTAGGAGTATACAGACTTCTAGAAATGTGTATTTACAAGAATCTTCTCTGTCCCACTCATCATCTTAGTTCTATCTTCATGCATTAAAAATAAGTAACTCTTCCTTCATGAAAAAGGAGATCAGACTTTCAACAGGGCAAAGCATGGAAACAAGATGCTTATTCTGTGGACTTCTTTTCATCTTTGTGAACTTCGTTCCTTGCTCTTTTTTCTTCTCCCTGTTCATATATTGCGTAGATCTGTGTATTGTCAAACGACCCGAAACCCTTACCTTTTCAATAGTACACACATAACTCCATAACAATGATAATTTTTAATTGAAATTGATTCCATGATTTAAAATGTATTATTTACACAAAGACTCAAAAATGTCTTAGAATTTAAAGATGTAAAAACCGCGATCCACAGAAAGAAAACTAAACTTGAAACTTCTGGCGTCACAGAAGAGCACTAGCTAAATTGAACATCACTCATGGAAACAGAACACAGTCAAGAATAATTCCTGGACAGAAATTCATTAACCTCAAACTCCCAAATAACGTTTACTTGTAGAATTTAACAGTCTTCTGTAGGTTCTGAGTCTTGAAGGAACAGTGATATTTTTCAAGCTGTATAGTACTTCTTTGAAGATCCCAGCAAAGTTCTAAGCTATGTACTAATTCATTTCTATTTACCACTCACTTTGCATTGATGAACATCTTTCTAGGAGATGTTATTTCACTTCCTTCCCACTTACCCTAGATAGAGTGGTTGTTCTTGGAGCAATCTTTCCTGAACATCACCACTTTCACAGTTATTTCTTTGGATCCATCATTATTATTAATTCATTCCAAGTATTCTGGGGAAAAGGGCAAGAGGGAAAAAACAAAGGAAAGAATGTCCATACATATTAGTTACAGATCTCTGTAGATTCATTTTCCATCTTCATTCAAAGTGCTGTAAATAATTCCCATGCTAACTCAACCAGGTGACATAAAAAACCTATTGCACATTTAATTTGTTGTGACAGAGAATATCTGATGATTCCTCTGGGCTCGTTTCTCCTCCCTAGTGAATAGGAGAATTGAAGATGTGTTTCATCTTTTCTAAATATGGGATCAGTTGGTCTTTACTCTTTTCTTAATGGGATTATCTTTTGACACATCAAGCAATCCCCTAAAGCACATTCCTTGAAGTAGAGATATGCCATCTGTGCAATCATATAGCATTTTACCTTCTCTTTGCTTAGCTTTAAATGGCTCCCAGTTTTGGAAACCACAGGCCTCTCCAATCAACCATATATTTCTCCAGTAAAGCATATTCAGGAAAGTTGACTAGTTGACTCTTGTCCTAATTGTTTCTCAGCTTTGCTTCCTTCTTTAAAGAAATGTACTCAGAAGAAAATATCATAAATTACACTAACATTGTTTTATTATTATTAAACTAGAAGCAACATACTATTTGTCCCAGGTCAGAGTTCACATTTTCATAATCAATAGAATCAGATGTTGGGATATGACATTATTCTTAGTTTCATATTTCATGGATTCAGTATATAGAAACCACAAATTTCATAAGTTTACTCTCCCAAAGACAATTTAATAAACCAAAAATGCTACCAAAAGAGTTCAAGTGTGATTGATGAAGTATTGACAATCAAAATTAACAATCACTAACGAAACTTAACTTTCTGTAGAGATTATTACTTAAAAGTGTAATTCAGAGATTTGGACAGAGAAATTATCTCTTTCAAAAGTTAATATTTCTATACTACTTTAGACTGTATACTACCTAATTCTGGTATTTATGTACTATTTTATAGTTTTCAAAATGTTTTCACATACAACATTACATTTGAACCTTTCAACAATTTTAATTCAGCTTTACTAACAGAGAAGTAGATATCAGTCATTGCCCTGCAGTTATAGATTTTAGAAGCAGAAGAAAATTTTCTAAAACAGCCAAACTTAGATTCAGGTTCTAGCAGAGCCACATGCTAAATGACTGTAGGCAAGTTACCAAATTTCTCAATCTCGATTTCTTAATATGTAACAGTGGGACAAAATTTCTAGAACATAAAGTTTTGTAGGGGGGTTTTTCAAAAGGGGTTCAATTGGCAAATGTTTCTCAAATAAAATTTTCATAGTAAAATAACCCATGGAGCATCAATCTAAATGTTCCTTTACTACATGCTATCTCAGTGTGCATCACAAGTTTTTGTGCATTGAGAATTTTCAACAAAGCGGAAAAGTATTCAGCACTTCTCAAGCCTATTAGATTGCAGATTTTTTTCCCCACAGCATCTTGACAGACCAGTGTTCCACAGATCATCCTCCAGGGAACACAGGTGTGATCACGTGACTCTCATCCCATAATAGTGTACAAAACATCTTGCATTGTGCTTGGCACATAGTAGCCACTCAATAAATAGTTATGTATTCTTTGGAGTAAATTTCTAAGCCTCAATTTTCTTACTTGTAACATGAAGGTAATATTATGGGCTTTATACATTTACTATGATAATTAAATAAGATTATGGCAGAGAAAATGAAATAATTAATAAAAGTCCTGCTAATATATATCAGTTAACAACCGTTGGTACCTTCTGGAGGAGCTAAGTATTGTTCTCTGGTCACATGGGCAGTAACTAAAATTTATCAAACATCTTAAAATGGAATCTGGTTTAAAAAATTGGTTTTCTAATTTAGAGGCTCAAGCTCTATCTCTAAGAGCAGTTTTTCTTATACAAGCATCATAAATCAATGGCAGAAGTCACTGCACTTGGAAGAAGGACCCAAATTGGTAATATGTGAAGATCTATAGTAGAAGCTCTGGACCTCGTCTCTAGAAATTCTAATTTAATTAGTTGGGGCATGACATTGGTAATTTTTTCAGATGCCCAGTTGATTTTAATGTGTTGGAAACGCTGAGAACCAATAAGCTAAAGCACAAACTTATATATATAATTAGAACTCAATAAATCATTGCTGTTCATTGCTTGATTGATTGCAGAAGTAGAGCCACTAATCCTATGCAATATGTATAACACATGTTTGGCATTCAATCTGACAGGCCCTTTCCACTGAGAATTCAGGGAAAAACTGCACATCTTTGAGATGGAAATTTTATGATATTCAATTGATAATCTTCATGATTAGTTGTAAAACTATAGAGCTAGACCAACTCAGAATTATCAAGTAGACAGTTTATTGCTCTCTCTGTACCCTTTCCTCCCTGGAGAAATCTTGATTCATCATCTCGAGTACTTACTTTCTTCACACTCTTCTCGTTTTGTTTGTTTGTTTTTTTTTTTAGATGGAGTGTTTCTCTGTCGCCCAGACTGGAGTGCAGTGGCGCCATCTTGGCTCACTGCAACCTCCACCTCTTGGGTTCAAGCAATTCTCCTACCTCAGCCTCCTGAGTAGCTGGGATTACAGGCATGAACCACCATCTGGCTAATTTTTGTATTTTTAGTAGAGACAGGAGTTTCGCCATGTTGGCCAAGCTGGTCTCGAACTCCCCGACCTCAGGTGATCCACCTGCCTCGGCCTCCCAAAGTGCTGAGATTACAGCCATAAGCCTCCATGCCCAGCCCACACTCTTCTCTTTCTCCTTTTATACTGATTCTCAACCAGTTCTTGCCATCATGTCGATGGATGCTAAGACCACAGTGATCCTACCAGGAACCACTGCATATCCAGCAAACTGTAGAAAAAAAGACTTGAATGTGAAAGGAAAAAAAAAAAAACAACAACAACTTTTAAGCTTTATGTTTACATTATTAGTTCTCATACTTTGGTGTAAATCAGAATCACCTGGGGAAATTATCTAAACTACTGTTTACAGGCTCTACCTTCCGACATTTCTCCTCAGTAGAAGAGTCCAGCAATCATCATTTACAATGAAGCCTGAAAGTGAATGCCTAAAACTAGTTGTATACATTAGTTTTCATAAAAATTAGCTTGAATGTAGCAGTTTTTTCCCAAATTAAGTCAGGTACATGACTCCTTCTTAAAAGAATCTCCAATACAAGCGGGTTTTTTTGTTTTTTGGTTTTTTGTTTTTTAATAGCTTTTCTTACATTTTTTTCCCCAACAATCCTAAATAGTTGCATTATTTAAAACTAGATAGTAAACATGAGTTTTTATTAAAACTAGTTTGAATATAGTTTTACTCATTTTATTTCAGATTAGCTGTTGAGCTAATCTGAGTTTTTGTTAAATAATAACAGATTGCGGATTATACTTTGAAAAATATTGTTCAAGCTCAGGAGAGAGCAGGGAGGCAGTAAAAGGTTGAACAAGTGGCCGAGTGTGGTGGCTCACACCTGTAAGCCCAGGAGTTCAAGACCAGCCTGAGCAACATGGTGGGACCTCATCTCTATAAATCAATAAACAAACAAAGATTGAACAAATGCATCAACAGCAACGAAACATAGTGTTGTCTAATTTGTTTCCTAATAAGTTTGCTTCTAACCTAATGAAATAAGGGGGAAAAAAACCTAAGCTGTAGGCTGGGCGCAGTGGCTCACGCCTGTAATGCCAGCACTTTGGGAGGCCGAGGCAGGTGGATCACGAGGTCAGGAGATCGAGACCAGGGTGGCTAACACAGTGAAATGCCATCTCCACTAAAAAATACAAAAAAAAAAAAATTAGCTGGGTGTGGTCGTAGGCACCTGTAGTCCCAGCTACTCTGGAGGCTGAGGCAGGAGAATGGTGTGAACCCGGGAGGTGGAGCTTGCAGTGAGCCGAGGTCGTGCCACTTCACTCCAGCCTGGGTGACAGAGCGAGACTCCGTCTCAAAAAAAAAAAAAAAAAAAAAAAAAAAAAAAAAAAAAAAATTTAAGCTTTGTATTTTACTTTGTTTTAGACTAAAATTATAAATTGAATTTATTTTACAAAGTTTTTCCAGCAAAATCGGAGCTATTTAAGGAATACATGGTGGATAGGAATCTTGCCATTGGGAAAATCAGCTGGATCATATGATTATAAACCTATCCAAGGAAAATTATTTCCAAATACCTCACTGCATTTGACTGGCATTATATTATGTTCTGTATGAGCCATCTGTGGCAATGCAGTACTACAATGAATCCCAATTAGTTTCCAAGCACGTGACCCTTATACCACAAGGTCTATTTCCTAGTAAGCAATTTAGAGAGTCTGAACAGCCTTTAATACAAAAGGAAAGCAAAGCATTCTTACTTATTAGACTATTTTCTGAACATCTAACAGTGCCAAATGGTATTATTAATTAACTCTTGTAGATAATAAAAAAAAATTCTGCTTGATGCTGCAGTTTTAACTTGCCTTTAGGAACCATCTCATTATGCTTCTCACAGTTATGGAATTTTATGTCCATATGCACAAGCATATTAAAATCATTTTTGCTTTCAAAATTCTCTCTACAGAGGCTGGTATTAGAGAGAATGGGGTTCTACCTTAAATTTTCTAAGAATTTTTATTTGCCAAGATATGAACAACCTTGTGACAGAAAGTCCACATTACAAATGCAGTGTGTGAATTTGAAACTCTGCAGAATTTGAACTTCGTGGTTGTCAGCCCAAATACGGCTAATGGTCCAAAATACACAACAATGTGTATCCATGTTGCAATGCATACATCCAGATAGACACAAAAATGAGTAAGACCAGGATGATGGAATAAAGTTACTGTATTTCCCCCTAGCAACTAAAATATTTTAATTTAACTTGACCAGAATTGTCTTTCTCCCCAGTTTTTCAACTGGATGGAGGGTTTAGACTTAAAATATTCAAATATTCCGATTTTTCAACCTAAAACACGAAAGCAGTCCTGATGAGTTTACCAGCCACAGGAACCAAGAAATGACTGTCGTTTGATAACCCCCTCAACTTTAGTATTTATCTTTCCTCGGTGTTCCTTGGCACATTATCAGATGCTTCAAAGTGTCTTCAGTTCTATTTCTTCTGTAGCCTGATCAACTTATTTAGCAAGTGATTTGCAAAAGTCTCTTTAATTAGGTTATTTTTGTAATCATGCAGAGGCTTTCCTTTGCCTGGAAACTCAAACATTCATTACTTCTTAGAAAAGCCAGGAAGCAATTAACATCAATTTAGAAATAACATTTCTAATGTACAAATTGATGTTGTCTTAT